TCACTGCTCTCCCAATCGCGTCGTGATCGTTCATATAAATCATCCTTGCAGCTAACTTATTGCAAACCGTAGACGACGTTCAGTCATCATCCACGAACGGTCTCACAGGAAATCATGAATACCGGCACGTGGAAAGTGTTGCAGACAAATAATGCGAACGGTAAAAATTTACGCTCGCTTTGGGACACGAATTCCAGTGAAAAAGCAAGATTGAACAATATCGAGTCTTCGGTATCACAATCATGTGGAAATATGTTTCATCTATTTTAAAGAAGAACCAACATAAAAGAGTGAGCACATGTCATTTGAAATATAAATGAACATATTTTTATATCTTACGCTCTTTCGTAAAATTTTACTACCCTCTACTTGTTTTCTAAGATTTTTTAACTTGATCAAATTTGTCTTTTTTAAACATCTCATATTTATTGTATGAACATTTCATTATAATTGACAGTATTCTATTTTCTAATTTCTTTTTAAAAAGTTCAAAAAGAACTTTTACAATTATACGAAAAAATTGAGGTGCAAAAATATGAGATACCGATTTCACACTTTTGTGTTATATGAAAATGTTAATAATGTTTTAATCAAAATTAATTTCCAATAGATGTCTTAAAGGACCGTCTGGGACTTCTGAAAAACGTCAAACTTCTGAAAAAAATATCTACTCGTCAGAACTAAAAAAATTTCCCCTGCAATCACCGCTGACGCCATCGCTAACTATTATCATCAGGAAGGACTAGGAAGAAAGGATTTCAATTATTACGGAAGAAAACAACGATGAAGGAAAAAATTACATTCCACATGGCAACGCACTAAATTGTAAATATATCTATATTTCAATTCTCTTGTATAAAAATATAATATACAAATTGGCCATTTATATAAATTCTATCAAAAAGTAATAACAATACACTGTCACGTAAACAACGTCAAAAACATCCCTCTCTATATCTGAAGAAATATTTAATAAAAGTGTCGTGAAAAGAACGCGCAGCTTTTCGAGGTTCTCACCAAATTAATGCGCCACGTGATGTTTTCCAATCTGTTCAACGATACGTACGGTCCAATAACCATTATCCCGGCAAACGATAAATCTTGCAAACTGTCCCGATGGACGAAGAGTTATATATACTGTTACGAAATCGACGTGTGTGTGCGAGTATGAATAGAAAAGATAGATAGCCCGCTTCTATTGATCGAAATTAATCCCGTAACCGTATCAATACATTCGGAACAGAAATAATTTCATGTATTCAATGAATATATCATTATCTATGTTATCGAATCTAATAAGCAAAATTCAGCGTAATTGGAAAAAATCCACCTATTCGCAGGATTAAAAACACGATTACAATGCCATAATGTATCTATCCTCCCAGCAGAAGAGATATGAAACCGATATTGAACGATAAAATAAACCATCAAATATTACGCATTCGAAAAGATTCAAACAATCAGTCAATTTATTTTACATGCCGTTGTAGGCTGGTCCGCCACCGCCCTCCGGCACGACCCAATTGATATTCTGGCTCGGATCCTTGATGTCGCAAGTCTTACAATGGATGCAGTTCTGCGCATTGATCTGCAATCGTTCACCGTCCCCGCTTTCTAACGGCACGAATTCGTAAACACCTGCAAACAGATCACACACGCGCGTTTTGGATTGACAAGACCAACATGACCCCGTATCTTCCTCTCTAGTGGACTACAACGCAGGATCTAATTAGAAATACATCCGGAAACCACAAAGTATCTTCTAGTTTACCACACACAATTACTGTCGTACTGCGATCGTAATAAAGCGCTCTATAAATTTATTACTGTTCCAGGAAACTAATTGTTTAATCCATTACTGTTGCACGAAAACATTAATAAACTTCACAACATGCAGGACGATACATCTAGTGTATGATTTATTCAGCAGACGCATACATTCTGAGGAGTGTGAGATTTACGCCGCGAAGGTCATACCGTGCCCTTCTCGGCCAGACAGTCGATAACCTGGTCCCCACCATCTTCCAGACGGCGCAGGACTATCCTGTAGGAAAGCTTACAGACGAGATCCTTGCCAATGCCCAGACTGGTCGGGCTTGTGAAGGGGAACAGGAAGCAATCTCTCGGAGACGGAAAGGAGAAACGAGGGAGCGAACTCATCGTAAAAATCAAGAAAAAGTGTTGAAAAAGCAACAAAGCGAAGGAAGACGCATAAATTTGAAAATGTTTCGATAGTCGGAACGCAATATATCAGATGTCGGCCAGCTTTTAATCATAAGTCGTAAAATTTAAGTTAAAAAATATCAGCTGTCGCAAAATTATAGCACTAATCGATCTTGAAACATGAGAGTTTCAGCTTCGAAGATTTAATCAGATAAAAAATAAAGTGTTTCTTTCAATTTAATTTTATAGATTTTACTTTAATAGAATTTTATTTTCTTTAGAGTTTATTCAAACTCCGAAAGAATGTTTACAAAATTATGTTAACACTAAAAAGATTAATTAATCTCAAATTGATAAAAAATCGATAATTTAATTGAATCACGACTCTATAGAATATAAAATCGTATCTTTATGTTATGTAAGAATGTTTAAAAAATTACATGTTAACACTAAAAAGACTAATTAATCTCAAATTGATAAAAAATCGATAACTTAATTGAATCACGACTCTATAAAATATAAAATCGTATCTTTATATTATATAAGAATATTTAAAAAATTACATGTTAACACTAAAAAGACAAATTAATCTCAAATTAATAAAAAAATATATAATTTAATATAATGACGACTCTATAGAAAATCTAATCACGTCTTGCATTATATAAGAACGTTAAATATTATTTTTCGTAACAATAACGGTCCTTCCATTCCTAACTACGTGTTTCTAATTCAAACCTTTGGCTCCACCCGCTATTCATTATACGAATTGTGAATGTAACTACCAGCTTTTGAATTTCTCACATTACGCGGCAGCAATGCCTCACTGATTTTACCGCAAGATTGTATTATTAAACTTAACGATAATTACAGTTGCTTTGTATGCGACGCAGAAATTGTCATTTTGTCGCTTAAAGATTTACTCCGTTTGCAAGAGATATATTTAATAACGACAAAATGCGAAATTCTCCAATTCCATCAGACAATTAATTCGAATATTGTAATTTGTTTGTAATCTTGAAACTAAGAACTTGTCTTTTATGTTATATCGATAGAATTAATTTGAGAAAATTCTTGACAAGTTCTGTGATCAATTTGCACTTATTACGTTTTGTTCCGGGATTAATAATAGATATTCTCAAAAAACAGAACGAAAAAAGATAAATTGACAACAAGGTTGTTAGCCGGGGCTGGGTACAGGGCGCTGTTCGATTTTGGGAGTTGAGCTTGGTCCGGGGTTGTCTAGCCATGCGGGGGTTGTCCGGGTGGCTCAGGTTCAAGGACACACCGGTCGATAAACCCCCGAGACTGAAAAAGGGGGATTGCGGGGAGAGCATGGAGGGCGGAAGAGGAAGGAAGCTGGGTTGGCTGCAGCTTACGGAAATTTACCGCAGACGAAATTGATCCCGTCGTGTTAATACTCAAACGCTAAATTATCTTGTATCAGGCAGATTTTCGCGAACATTATTTTTGCAGCAACAGCAAATGTTTAAACGATTCATAAAATCGTAATGTAAAATGTGTAAATGTTGAAAATTGAATAGATTCGTCATAAAGATGATGGATTTTATGTTTATCTTAAAATTGTGAGTTAAATTTCTCTCCATAAATTTCTCTTAATAATATTTCAAAAATGTGATTGCGGAAAAAATGCAAAAAAAAATTGTAAAATTAACCATTAATCATTCAGAAATAAAATAAAGTGGTGGCATACGTAAATTTATGTAGAATGTATATCAAATTCCGCAATGCGGTAAATGTACTACTTATTCATCGCTGAATTGAATTTTTTCGCTTACGTTAATAGCGTAAAATCATCCTTGAGCAAATTGATTTAAATGTTAATGAACACCTTTAGCATTCACACATAAAAAAGTCTCACTGTCTATTATATTATTAATTCATAAATCATGCAGTTGAATGAACAGAAATAATCGCGAAGAAAATTGTATATTTAGCGACTGATAAATTTGTGCAATAACGACTTTAGTACAACTATTATTTAATATTTTAAAATTAAATTTGTTAGAAGCTGTTTTGTTTAACATGCTTCAATCAAAAAATTGTAATAGTATAAAATTAACCTTTGGCATTCAAAAGAAAATTAAAAATATGTTCCTTGATAAATATAATTAAAGACTCGAAAATAGATATTAAAAAGAAATAGATAGATAAACATAATATGTAGAATAAACTTAATATTTTTTCCAAATATCTCATTCGTATCTCTTAAAATCTGTATTATTTCAGGAAATATAAATTCACTGAATGTATACACGCCAGGAGCACAAATCATTTCGTAAATTAATCGCATTGAAGTTGATTTGCTCTATAGAAAATGAAACAAATTTTACTGTTTTCAATTATTGGCGTAATTCATACGCGGAATCGTCATAATTTCGAAAAATTGTAATAAATATATCATTTGCAAATAAGATAAAATACGCCCATTACGCAATCAATTGAATTCCTTGATTGTTAGTAGTTGCCATATATTAATAAAATAATAATATAAATTGCATGCAATGACTCACCAGCAGGGCAGAATCGTCCTTCCGGGCCAGCAAATTCAGCTAAATTCCTCTTCACTGGAACGGTATCGTCCATCAAAGTTAGATGGGCTGGTTGATCAGCTTCGTGGTTGGTGCCTGTTAGAGCCACCGATGACAGAAGATCGAAGGATACTTCATTATCCGGTTTAGGATATACTATAGGCGTCGACTCAGCTGCCGATTTCAACTTCTTATAATCAGGACCTGTAAAAGTACAGAAATTTCAAAAATACTGCATTTAACAATTGACATTCATATTTTTCTTACAGGAATCTATCCTTACCTCCATGGGAGAAAGTCCACGGCTCCTTTCCGCCCACCAACATGGAAAAACCCGAGTACATTAAACCGCCATAAAGCCCGAGAGAGGTATGAAAACTGGGCCTCATATTTCTTACAGCTTTCAGCTCCTTATAAATCCAGCTGTTCTTTATTTTATCTGCGTACGTTTTCGGTTCTAAGCCTTTTGTCGGCGAAGTGTTACTTTCTGCATCTATAATTGCTTCAATAACGCTTTCTGCAGCGAGCATGCCACTTTTCATAGCGTTGTGAGTTCCTTTAATCTTAGGCACGTTTAAAAAGCCTGCGGTACATCCGATAAGGCAACCACCGGGGAATTGAAGCTTGGGAATAGATTGGAATCCACCTTCTACTAAAGCTCTCGCGCCATAGGCTATTCTGCAATAAAGAAAAATATAGATAAAGAATACGAAACAATGCATGTAATTAAAATACATTTCTTATTAAAGATACTAACCTCTTCCCTCCTTCAAACGTTGGTTTAATACTAGGATGCTGCTTAAACCTTTGAAATTCTTTGAATGGAGACAGATAGGGATTAGTGTAATCCAATCCCACAACAAAACCTACTGCAACCAGTGGTGTTTCTTCGTTCAGATGATATAAAAATGATCCGCCATATGTATTTCTATTAAGTGGCCAGCCAATTGTATGCTCGACTGCTCCGGGTCTGTGCTTGCTTGGTTCTATCTCCCAAATCTTTTAAAAACATGTTTTATGTTAATATATTTTATATTATACACTCATAATGTTGAGGTTTGAGATAAAACTCAATAATAATTACCTCTTTCAACCCGATGCCATACGTTTGTGACTCACAATCCTTTCTAAGATTCAATTTCGTTGACACTTGTTTTGTCAGGTGACCGTGACAGCCTTCTGCAAATATGGTACATTTTGCATGAAGTTCCATACCCCGTTCAAACGTTTCTTTGGGCGAACCATCTTTAGCAATACCAACATCATTCGTGGCCACCCCTTTAACTGATCCATCTTCGTGATACAGAACCTCTGCCGCTGCATAGCCAGGATATATCTCGACACCAGCAGCTTCTGCTTGTTCGCCTAGCCATGCTACAACATGTCCTAATCTGCACACAAAGGCACAAATTTTTACTATCAAAACAAAACACTTTATTACTTCTCGCTTATTTATAAACTTACGTTCATGTAAAATATTGTCTTACCTTACTATATAATTTCCATGATTGTACATTGGCATTCCTTTAAAAATAGGAATGGATAGCCTTTTATTTTCAGTAAGAAAGGCAAATTTATCTTCTGTAACAGGAGTGTTTAACGGTGCACCTAATTCTTTCCAATTTGGAAAGAGTTCATTTAAAGCGATTGGATCCAAGCAAGCACCACTAAGGATATGTCCACCGATGGTAGATGCCTTTTCAACAAGAGTAATTTTGAGTTCTTTGCCATGTTTCTCAGCTAGTCTACGAGCCTGAATAGCTGCTGATAATCCAGCTGGACCACCACCGACAATTAGAATATCGGTTTCGTCCACATATCTTTCCATGCTTACATCTAGGAGATAAAAAAATATTTTTATATTATCTATATAATTTTTGTAAATGAAAAACCAAGAAAAAATCATACCTTTCCATCTTGAATCTGTTTCTCTGGGTATTACTGTATAATGAGTTGTAATTTGAGGATATTTGGCATCTGAATAAGTTCTCTGGAAAATCCTTTGTAACCTCTGTACTGCCAAAAAAGTAATAATCAAAATTAAACTAAAACACAACGATTATTGCAATTAAATTAGTATCGTTACGATAAGTACATATTTTAAAAATTTATAATTGTCAAATAATGTACATTAAAATATCAATATATAGATATTTATATGGCAATATGTAGATATATGTAGATAAAGGAAATTTAATATTTAACAGTTATTACATAATTCTAAAACTTTTTAAATTTAATTTCTACATTTGTACATTTCATGTACAGACACGTATAATTTATCTATGTTAAATATAAAAATGTAGATTAAGGTGCATCTAAAAAAGTGTTTATATTCTGCAAGGGCAAAGTGCAATCTTATCTAACTGTTTACCTCTCATGTAATATATATACCAGCCAAGAATATAAAATTAATGACTTGCGATTCATGAAACAAAAGACGAAAGCTCTTTAATTGTATCAAAAATACAATTAAAAAAGTCAGCATTTATTTCAAATAATACATCTTTATTAGCGAAGTATGTAAATTTAGTCGAACAATATTTGCAAGACTAATAATAAAAGTATTTGCATACGATCGTATTGAACAAATAGAATACACTTTCTAAACAATATTATGTAATGTACAACATATTCGTGAAATTATTAATTAAGACACTCGCGTGTCTTTCAAGTCCGTTATCATCGCAATAAATAATCGTTCTATTACAAAAAGAAACAAAACATTCGGAGAACCTTAACCAACACAATTGTCATCGACACATGGTTGGAAAATTTTAATAAAACATCGATACACTTACTAGTTTTGGATGCACCAAACACCGCGGAAGCCATGATCACACACAGGCAATACACAACCACCGATCAGTGCTAATCAACGATGATTATTAAAAGAAATTGGCGGCACTTGCGATCGTTCTATCTAACACAAATAATGCCAACAAGTAAATACAAAGTGACATCTGTGCTCCATGAGCGAAGTTCGACAACCAATCGGAACGCTCGAAATCGTCGTTCGATACTCTCGATATTTTATCACTTCGAGAGCCGCAATTTCACTTTGTGATAGATTCGAACATCAGTTATGGAAGGCGTTGCAATGAATTGCTAAGCTGCGTATCGTTCCGTATCTTTTGGCATCGTTACCGTTTAAAAGTGAATCTTATGAAAGATCGTCGTGAGTGTTTCTTGTGAATGATCAGGCGTTATTTGTAACACGTTAAGCATCGCGTACAGCCGCTATGACATGCCAACGTAGCAGATCGCTTTCAGTGTCAATAGTCCACTCTTGCATTCCTGAATTTCTGTGTGCCCGGAATCAATCGAGATCCTCTTCGCATCTTTTGTACTTGTCGCATCCTGTTGCAGCTACTGTTGTTTCCTGGCCGGAGTACAGCGAAAATGCAGTTCATCGCCGATCATCGCCAGGTATGTGCATGCCATTGTTTTATGATCAACAGCGTCGATATTATTTCTTGTATTCTGATTACTGACAATAATATTTTTAAGTCGTCAATAATTTCTTATTTATTCTAATAAAGCAGCGTGTGAATATTTACATACTTATGTTTAAAATTGATACTTTGATCTTTACATCTGAAAATAACATTTTGAAATATTTTCTAACTACACTATTTTTATTTATTACGATTTTAATAATTTCAATTATTATTTTAACATTTTTCAATGATTTCCGAATTCACTGAATTTATTTGACAATCATAAAATAATATTATTTTTTGTCGATATAGTTATTATTTGTCGGTATGATTGTCATTTGTCGGTATAGTTATCATTTCAATAGCAACAGTCGATAAAGTACATTGCATCGGTAAAGTCACAATTGCACTGACCAACATTCTATTTATCTATGGAGCAGTTTTTTATAGGAGTAATAAAATTAGTCTATTAGTTTATATTTCTTATTGAAAAGTTTACTATGTGTGTGTGTGTGTGTGTGTGTGTGTGTGGGTAATTTTTGAAGAAAATTATTTTATTAATTCACATATTATTTAGAAACCAAATAATATTTATACTAAAATATAAATATATAGTGGTGATAGAATAAGATTGCCTAAGAGTTCTGCAAACTTTCAAGCAGTCCTGACAGTTTCTAAAAGTAACATAGTAACACGCGATACTTTTGCGCACTTCTTGTCTGAGTAGAAGCTTTAATTGCTTCGTGGATGGAGCTTTTTATCGATTTTTAGAACAGTTAAGTGTTTAATCTAGACAGAGTCTGCGTCGCGTCGTTTGGCGCTGTAAAAAGGGCGATGACCAGAACATTGTGAGTTTTACGAAATTCAGCACGATGTATTTTTATCGCAGAATTTTAATTAAATGACGGCAAAATATATTCACGATACATTAGATAGTCTTGCTAGTTTTTAATTAATTACATAATGAACTCATCAATCTTCTCTGTCGATAGTTTCCCAAATTAATAGATAATCTAACATTAAGGCCATAATTATATATGTTCCTATAATGTTGTTAAAACCCGTTGTTGATAATCTTAAAAATAATTTTATATTTTAAAAATAAAAACGAGATAAATATAAAAAAAAAATATTTAAAATGATAAAAGCGAGGTCATAATTGTGCGCTTTCATTGTCCCATCATTTCTGAATCAAAAATTTGTACGCATTAACCGCATGTGTCACGTGTAACATTGCTTGTCTTGTTCCCGCATGCACCATAATTTTCATATAAAGCAAATTACAATGCAGTTATGAGATATTCAGGTATAACATTATGCGTATATACTGCGAACTGCACGTGGTATTACGCGTGACCCGTGCGACCACGTGGACTATGCAGTTATCAACATGACTCCAGTTTTGAATGCAGACACGAAATGGAGCCAAAACGCAATTATGATTCCGCTTGCATTGTTCCAAACATCTATTTTATTGTTGGCAATTTCGCTGAAAGGAAACTGCCGATGACGTTTTGGCACGTTCGACTCACGTTTAACATTAAACACGGGCACATGATAAATAAACAAATAGACATAACAGAAATCGACAAATAAACTGGGGCTTGTTATTTAATTTTCGCGTTTAGTTCTGAATTCGAGCCGTAAACACGGATAGGCAGAATGCCAAAAAAAAAAAAAATAATGACGCAAGAAGAATTTTCCGCGCTCGAGCGACGAGTAACATTAAATTCTAATCGAGAACCACAACGAAAAACTCGTGTTTGCAAACAGGAAGGAGACACGCGATCGTTCCTAGATCGTATAGCGAGTGTTCATTCAGCACGCGTGTCTGTCAATCGTGGCTCGTTTCTCGCATAACGATAGAAATTCTCTTTTGCAGACCACCAACGATTTCCGCTCGTGCGTGAAATGTCGCTCGTTTAAATGCGAACTCACTCCGTGAAAGTCCAACGTGATCGTAAAACACGACACGCGATAGCTCTTCTCATTCCATGCGCTTTCTGATATTATATTTACGTATCGCCATCACGCGTTGCTTTCATTAATTAAGGAAGCTTGGCTATCTGCCGCCGATTCTCGCGACTGTAATGCGCATGCAACGGCGTTTATCGATTTTATCATACGCGATAAACAGGTTCTGATCTTTTAATATGATTCGCGAGTCATACCGCATATTTTGATCGATATTTGATATTGTTATATATACATAATGCATACAAGATACATATATCCTGTATCTCCTTTACTGCGTCATATTCATCAATCTTTTTAATATTGATCCTTTTAACAACAACTTGATAGATAGTTAAAAATTATTATACTTTTAATACTGAGCATTAAATGTTTTCTTGAACAAGATTCCATATAAAATAACATCTCCGACAAACAAGATAACGATTAAAAAAAAAGGAAATGACGCATTCATTTTTTGGATGATTATTTCTTTTCAAAATGACTAATTAACGAAATATTAACTTTTACTTTTTAATTATCATAGTTAATGCATACTCATTAGAATCAAAAAGATCTTGCTCGCTAATGAATAGTAATACAAATAATGAGGTTGCTTTTGTTTATCAGTGTAATCTGCTGATTATGTCGTTTTTAAGGATGAGTCATGTTCATGAGTAACGATAACTCCACGGTTGGAACTGTGTCATATATTTACGTTGTTTCCTACATAAAAATATTTAGAATAATATTACTATCGCATTAATTTTCTTTTATCCAACTGACATTACGAAATAAATATTTTCAAATAACTCCACGATTAAATAGTATCAAAGAGATGCACTTTGCATGGTTGATTTTTGCACACGACATTGTTCAATTGAATCCGAAGCAATTGATTTTAGTCAACGGAGAATTAGTATGTCATATAAATCCGAACTCGGGACTCGAGTTAAACAGATTTTGATAAATGACGATGTTTTTCTTGGAAGTAGCTCAATAACATGTATAATGCTTATTAATGTCCCGCCAATATTTTAATTTTCTGCCGTAAAATTAAAAAACCACTGAACTCTTAGCGTTAAAACGAGCACTCATTATTCTTCATTTTCCTTGAAATGTCCATCTTCGAGAACGGTGACAGTTCTGGGACGCTCGATGAGGATTACGTATTTTACGAAGAAATGATTCGTTTAAAGCGGAGTTCGTTAAGAACCGGGAACAGCTGACGATCAATAAATACCGATGAGTCTATCCGGGCAAACTATTTGGCAGCGGGACGCGCGAGTTCCCAGCTCTCTGAATCACGGCCTGTTAAAATTTGAGCAAACCCATTTCGAAGACCCGAGTGAAACACGGGAAACTCGGCCGGGCGCCAAAAGCGCTCTTCTGCGAAGAAAGCGGTGACAAACGGTGTCGCCGTCTCTCGAACCTTGCACCCGAAGGGATCGCGCTGGGTGCAACGACCCGATGCAACGATTAGAACGCGCAATAGTACGATAAAAGGCGAGGAAAAATCGTTGTCGGATTTTATCCGAATTGTCGCGTCAGCGATGAATAGAATCGTAATAGAATAATCCAATTGAGTAGCCACGTTTCTGTCAATTTCTATCGGCAGCGAATTACGTTGATGATTGAAATGCGCGACACGCTCGAGATTTATCGATTATCCGATTCGCCGTCCAACGGAAACCACTGGTCGCGAACCACCATGTGCCCAGAATAACCACCAGAACGACAAAATTGGAGCCTGGTAGCTTGATAGACCGGTTCTAATCGAGACGGATCGATATCTTATCGCGCTAATTGAATGGCGGGTCGAAGGCAGCATGTTACGTTACTTTATCATCTTTTTGCATGGAAAACTAATTAACTGTCGATTGAAAGTTCCAAAAATGGACAGAACTTCGTATAGAATATTTGACATGCGTTTCAATATCTAAAATATCTCGCGTTAAACTTTCAACTATTAAAATGCAATAAGAAATCTATTCCAATTACATACAATTTATGAAATATAGAAAAAATATGAGCATATTTTTTAATTTATTCTTAATTGATTTTCTAAGACGATCAATTTTTCTGCTTTGTTTTACCTCAATGACGTAGGAAACTTGATTTGTTCTTAGAGTTTTATGAAGTTAACGCGTTACCGAGTAAAAATGCGCAAAAACTCGATCGATCTCGATTTATTCGCGACGTTAATAAGCGTGTCGCACGCACGCACTGTTTCTATAAATAGGTGGTCGTTAATCGAAGTAAGCAGTACTTGAAAAACCTATTACGTGATGTAATACGTACAATTCCACGTAACTTGAAAATTGTTTTTTTAGGAAAAAGCGCTTTATTTCTTTGGTTTATTTTTATCGTAAAGTTTCTGTGCACCTATTGCGAGTCGTCAATTGAATAGTTACTTATGTGTAACAATATGTACATAAAATTTTTCTAAACTGTCAGAAAATATATACATAGTTTTATTCTTTTCTAGAGATATTTTTAAAAAATATACTATTAAAATGAATGATTCATATATTTTCGCAATACAATCATTGTCGAAGA